GGGTCCGGATGTAAACAAACGAGGTGTTTAAAGCAGGGACACGTATTAATTTTAGTGAAATGTTCGCTAAGCAGGCAGATACGATGTGACTATACAGGACATAAGTAATTGTTTTTATAATTTTTTTTCTTTTTTTTAAAGGTAGATGGGTATGAAATTGTAGTTCTAATAAACTTCTTATAACGTGAGGTAGAGAAATATTTTTGTATTATTTGATACATTTTTTCTTTTTTCTTTCATTGTACTGTTTCCGAGCCCATTATTTCGCAAGGCAAAACGTGTGGTTATATAAGATCTTTTCGGCAGGCCCTAAATTCAAGTGAATTCCTAGTACACGCAGCCTTGATGAATGGTTTCTCTTTGCACCAACACCCCCCACCCCCACCCGCCCCCAAACCCCACCTTCGCGCCCCACTAGCTGAATTGACAGACGAAACGTGAAAGAATGTATTGTCCAGAACAAGAGACAATTTCGGGTCACACTTAACGCAATGGCGGCAGGCGTGACAATTCAGGAGGGATGGCGAATCCTTTACCATGTGTTCTGGATGTGACCTCGATCTAAAACTAATACAGGAGGTTGGGCGGCCAGAGGTGGCACTGGAAACAGGCTGGAGTCGAGAGTAGTGACACAAAGGGTTAAGTGTGCGGTTGGTTTGCAGACGCATGCACACCCGCGCACGATATCGAGTCTTTGGCAAATACTATTTTCTTCGCTGGTTCATAGAACAGTCGCGCGTCTCGGATCTTGATGAATATCCTTCAGTGTGTGTTTTTGTTTGTTTGTGTTTCTTTTATCGAGAGGAAAGATGATGATAGAGCGTGTTAATGGGTGGAAACACGATCAGCTATTACTTTTCTTAGAGGAAAGTTCTCCAAGACTGATATAGACGCGCCTTGCCTTCGTCTCTCTTTTCCTCTCTCTTTCTCTCTCTCTCTCTCTCTCTCTCTCTCTCTCTCTCTCTCTCTCTCTCTCTCTCTCTCTCTCTCTCTCTCTCTCTCTCTCTCTCTCTCTCTCTCTCTCTCTCTCTCTCTCTCTCTCTCTCTCTCTCTCTCTCTCTCTCTCTCTCTCTCTCTCTTCTCTCTCTCTCTCTCTCTCTTCTCTCTCTCTCTCTCTCTCTCTCTCTCTCTCTCTCTCTCTCTCTCTCTCTCTCTCTCTCTCTCTCTCTCTCTCTCTCTCTCTCTCTCTCTCTCTTTCTCTCTCTTTCTCCCGCGATGATGGTGGAAGAAATATATGACGAGAATGAACACCGAGATAAGAAGGAAAAAGGGCACAGAGTGGATCGTATAGACATTCCCTCCACCGCAGCAGATGAGGTGGAGAAGGAACCAGAGTTAAAAGTGGTTCTCCTCTCCGACTACGACGACGACGACGAAGGCGATGAAGACGACTTCTGGGACGAGGAGGAGATGTATAGACCAGCCTCCGATCCCAGGAAGGAGAAGTGAGTGTCAAAGAATTCGGATTATTTTCCTCCGTCCTTTCCTCTTCCTTTCTTTCCTCTTCTTCTCTTGAAATTCCCCCCGTCCCTTCCTCTCTCCTTCTTTCTACCTCTTCTCCTGAAATATTAACTGAAATGAAGTATTTACTTTAACGTCGCAAAAAAAATGACAGATGGTCGTTTTTTTTTTCCTTTTCAGATTTACCTTTGCCGTAAAAAAAAATGCAAATTCTTTTTGGTAATTACGTAAACAGTCATGGTTAAAAATCAGTTAGACAAGCTCGGACGAAATGGAAATAGAATCATACAATTGCTGAATAGAAAAGCGAAAAACTTATTTATATGTATATATGTATATAAATTTTTTGTATTTTTGCGTAACAGATAAAGGTATTCTCTCCAAATAAACGGAAAATACGGATAGGAAAATTGTAAAAGTTGTAAATGATTTACGATGATTGATTCTGACAGACAATATTTCTTTTTTGAGAACCAATTCATATAACGGTATAATATATCTATCTATCTATCTATCTTGTCTATCTATCTATCTATCTCGCTATCGAAATCTATCTATCTGTCTATATCTGTATATTTACATATATATGTACATATACGTATGTATATGTATATATATACATATATATATACATATACATACATTAATTTGTCTCTCTATCTTTCAAAGAGAGAGGGCCTGTGACACCACATGAGCATACCGTGACTGAATTGTTACATTTGCGTGTTACCAATTCCGTGTATAATTCATTTTAGATCTGTTCAACATCATATATCAAATTAATATTCATAGATCTTTAAGGAGGGAGTTCCTGGCTACGTTATGGTGTGTGTGTGTGTGTTTATGTGTTTGTGTGTGTGTGTTTTTGTGTTTGTGTGTGTGTGTGTTTGTGTGTGTGTGTGTGTGTGTGTGTGTGTGTGTGTGTGTGTGTGTGTGTGTGTGTGTGTCTGTCTGTATGTATGTGTGTGTGTGTATCTATCTATACACACACATATAGCTTTGAGAGGTGAAATGCCGGTGTCCGTTTCCGTAGCTCAAG